TAGTGACCCAATTCTTCTATAACTAAAAATATACTAGAAAGAATGCTACCTTTGGTTTAGTGTGAAAGTTTATTAGTTACACAGGCTAGGATGATGGAGTGCCATTCTTTCAATCTACGTAAATGTGTTCAAGGAATCATTATTTCTTTCGTGTTCAATGGGCTCGCCCAGGGCCGGTTGTGGTCTAATGATTATTCCACACATACATATAAATACCATTTTTCCTGTACTTTTCCAACCCCTTCATCTTCCTCACACAACCTCCAACCAACTCACAACATATCTGTTAGAATATATTTTGTATATACGGTTATAATATATTTTGTATATATCTTGTAGGATTAGGTTTAGGCTCATTATGTTCCTATATATATGTGTACATGTCTTGTGAATAATATACAACATATATTTTTCCCACTTTCTTACATGGTATCAGAGCAGGTTTATCAGAGCAGGTTCGTGTCCAATTTTCAACGTTCATTGTTATTCGGCCATATTATCTCAACATGAGCCTAGGTCTTTTCGTGAGGCGAGTATTGATCCATTGTGGCAACAAGCTATGGCTGAGGAATTGCAGGCCTTAGACAAGACTCATACTTGGGATCTAGTTGATCTACCTGCTGGCAAGAAACCCATCGGATGCAAATGGGTTTACAAGATCAAAACAAATTCAGATGGGTCTATTGAGCGCTACAAAGCTCGTCTTGTTGCTAAGGGGTACTCACAGGAGTATGGCATAGATTATAAAGAGACATTTGCACCGGTTGCTCGTCTTACAACTGTACGCTGTTTACTTGCAGTTGCTGCAGTTCGTCGATGGTCTCTTTTACAGTTAGATGTTAAGAATGCCTTCTTGCACGGTGCATTATCTGAGGAGGTTTACATGACTCCTCCTCTTGGGTTCTTGTCCTCTGGGAAGGTTTGTCGTCTGCGCCGAGCTTTGTATGGCTTGAAACAAGCGCCTCGTGCCTGGTACGCCACGTTCAGTTCTGCATTGTTTCAGTTTGGTTTCACTACGAGTGATCATGATTCTTCCCTATTTCTTCAGCGCTCTTCATCTGGGATCATTGTTTTGTTGCTCTATGTTGATGATATGATCATCAAGGGGGATGATGTTTCGGGTATTTCCGACTTACAGGATTATCTTCGACAGCATTTTGAGATGAAGAGTTTGGGTCGTCTTCGTTATTTTTTGGGTCTTGAGATTTATGATTCCTCTGATGGCTTCTATTTGTCTCAAGCCAAGTATGCCTCTTATCTTCTTGCTCGGGCCGGTCTCACTGATTGCCAGACAGCTTCCACACCTCTTGATTATGATATTCGTCTTACTCCATTGGATGGTTCTCTTCTTGAGGATCCTACGTTATATCGCCAGCCCGTTGGGAGTTTGATATATTTGACTGTCACTCGGCCTGATATAGCTCATGTTGTTCATATTGTGAGTCAGTTTAGGGCTGCTCCGAGAACCACGCATCATTCTGCTGTGTTGCACATCCTTCGCTATGTGAAGGGCACCTTATTGCATGGTTTATATTTCTCGGCCAGTTCTTCCTTGTCCCTTAGCGGCTATTTTGATGCAGATTGGGCTGGAGATCCTACTGATCGTCGTTCCACTACCGGGTATTGCTTCTTTTTAGGTGATTCACTTGTCTCTTGGCGCAGTAAGAAGCAAACCTTGGTTTCCCGTTCGAGTGCCGAGTCTGAGTATCGTGCTCTTGCTGATTCTACCGCAGAGCTATTATGGTTGCGTCGATTACTTGCTGATCTTGGTGTCCCTCAGTCATCCTCTACTGCTCTTCATTGTGATAGCCAGAGCGCTGTCAAGATGTCTCATAATAATACGTTTCATGAGCGTACCAAACATATTGAGATTGATTGTCATTTTATTCGCCAGCATGTTACCCATGGGACTGTACGACTTGTTTCTGTCTCCTCTTCGGATCAGATAGCGGATGTATTCACGAAGTCTCTCCTTCCCGGTCGCTTTTGTTTACTTCTTAGCAAACTCAAGTTGATATCTACTATACCACCTTGAGTTTGAGGGGGGGGTGTTAGAATATATTTTGTATATATGGTTATAATATATTTTGTATATATCTTGTAGGATTAGGTTTAGGCTCGTTATGTTCCTATATATATGTGTACATGTTTTGTGAATAATATACAACATATATTTTTCCCACTTTCTTACAATATCAAGGTAAACATTCGTTCTCTTTTCCTGTACAATCCAAACCATATGAACATTAAAAGCCACAACACAAATTCAATACCACAATCCTTTGCTCACCAAACAACTACATAATGATAGAGCAAACCAAAATGAAAACTAAGGAATTGATCAACCTTGTGTCGTCGAGAAACAGTTTTCAGCCCTCACCCGAACTTTGCGAACGCGGTTGCTTGTCGCACCACCAACCCTGCAAGTTGTAGCCGCCTGATGAAGATCGTGTAATGCTCGGTTTTATTTTAAAGGATACGAAGACCGCCTCATTCTCAGCGATAGATTGTGGACAGCTTGGATTTTACTTTCTCATGATTTTGAGACAATTCAGATTTGCCAAACTCGAGCTTATGATGAACTATGCAATGAAACGCCTTTTTCGGCACAAAAATTTTGCGATAAAACTTTAAGAATTCTAACACATGAGATTGGATCAATGGTTGATTTTTCATTATTTTATTCCTTGAAAAATAATTATGAATACATAGATTTATTTATAGGAGAGATATACTATCATATGGGAAATAAAATACTAATCCTATGAGGAATCAAATTTTAATCCTAAGGAAATAATAAATCTGCAATCCTAAGAATTACAAAATAACTAATGTGGCACATGCCATTAAAGGTAAAGCATCTAAACCTACTAGGAATAATTAACTAATAAAGTAGATATGCAATCTTGAAAATTTCCCTTCTATAAAGTCCAACTTGCGCCCCAAGTCATGCTTTTCAGCTTGCAGCTCATGCCAGACCTAGGCATGCTTGGGTCTGTAGTCAACTAAACAAGTGTTTCATCAAAGTCTTTAACAACATCCTCAACCACTGCCCGAACATGCATCAATCTTTGATTTTCAGAACCATCAAAGGAGATAAGTAGTCAATTGAATCATATCCTGTGATATAGCCTTCTTGTCCACTGAACAAGTGTTTCCCCACCAGAGCCTAAAATTATTCAAGTCTGCAAATGGGTTGTCCCAACTCGCATGAGCTAATTTCGAAAGGAACTTTTTTTCTTAAAGCAACTTTTTATAAATTATTCCAATGCAACTTAGCTTTACTACACTAAAAGAAGACATGCTCCATTGTTTCTTGAAATTCCAAACTGACAAAGAAAATTAATAAACATGAAAGATTAAAATTTAGTCTTCAAGTGAAAATCACTAGTAGACTAAGGCAACGCGCCAAATGTATAATTTTTATTATTTTCAATGCTTCTCTTGCAGGATGCCATCTCCTCGATCTCTCGTCTCGAGTCCTCTGGTGGTTTTGTGATGACTCTCTTCCTTTCCCCAATGTTGAGGTCTTCGGGGCTCAGATCTGAGCCGTAAATTCGTCTAGGCAGTAGAGTGACCGCAGTTTTCGGGTTTAGGGCCTAGTTTTGTTGCTCAGTTGGGTATCTTTGTTGTGGGTGTGACTTGGTAGACGATTCACGTGGTCATGGGGTTCAACTGCTAGATTTAGGGAGGTTTTACTCTATCTTGTTGCTTATTTGGCGTCTATTATTTTTATCTTTTGTGTTGTTTTTCGTTCTTTAAGTCCAGCTGCTCCTGACATTTAGTCTCCTTTTTGGAGTTTCAGTCTTCTTTATGGAGTTAGGTTTTTTGTGTGTTCGGTAATCTCCTAGTTGAGGTTGTACCTCCTGGACACATGAGTGCTTCCAAGAGAGTAGGTCCAGATTTTTTGGTTCATGTGTGTCCGTTGACACTTCTTTTGTTCTCATTTGAGTTTTTTGTTATTAATATAATTATCGTTTAAAAACAAAAAACTACCAAATACATGACAAATTCATGGTCTCAATCTACTAAAACTTAATATTCAAATTTCTTATTGGTCACACCCCACATCATATGCGAAGATAGATAAAGTAAATCGAAATGTATACAATTGCTAGCCAACATTGAATAAAACCTCAAAACTTTTCCTTCCAAAAGACGTTACTTTGCATTAATTAAGTATTTACATCTATTCATTTATTTTGTTATGTAACAACTATTACTAACAAATCATTAAATCACATTAAATGATATTAAAATTTATTATTTTTTTTTAAATTATTTATATAAATTATTATTTTTATAACTCATTAAGCAAGTTTTTTTATTAACATTAGTATTTAATTTTTATGATATAATCAAACTTCTTAAAATTTCGTACACGATTTCTATAATAATAATTTCAATATTGTTTTATCTAATCAATTGCTCACAGTAAAAAAAGATTGCAAAAATTATATAGCTGCAACCGATATAAAGATTAATATGTAAGTTAATAGTTCATGTTTATATCGTTCATTTTTACTAAATGATAAAATATATAAAATGTGATATGCTATTATCTGATTTATGATTTTAAATATTACATACATACATATAACATATAAAATTTTATTTGCTTCTATGCATGTGCACATGATCGAATGCGCTAGGTACAATAATTATACTCTTCTCACCTTATTTTAGTCAATCCTTTTTTTTTTTTTCCCGACAAGTCAATACCCATTTCTTAGTTGTATAGTAAGTCACCTAATATGCCCCTAGCGTTTGATGACCAACTCCCACCTGCCAATTTAGTCCCTTTACACATCCTACATAAATTCTCACACATACACTAACTAAATACAATCATCAACAATCAGTACTTTCCAGTTTTCTCACACACAAAGAACATGGAGATCAAAATCAGGGCCAAACAATGTGTAATAATTCCCATAATCGTGATCGTATTTTCTTGCATGGCAACACTAAATTTGGCACAAGTGCAAAATCAACAATGCATGAACGAGCTACAGCCGTGCCTGAATTACCTCAACGGCAACAGTCGTCCACCGGATAATTGTTGTCAACCTCTCGAGCGTGTTATCAAGTCAATGCCCGAGTGCTTGTGTGGGCTGATGACCATTCAAGGCGCCAACCGGGCCGAACAGGCCGGAATCAACTTAAATGAGGCCCAAACGTTGCCCGGAAGATGTGGCCAACGGATTAACCCACTAGGCTGTGTTACGGGCACACCCGATCGACGGTCGAGGGACTCAGTCCCAAATTCAGGCAGCTCTAAATTGAGGTTTTCAAGCTTGATTCTTATTGCTGTAGTTTTTGTGATTGACCATGTTCTATAATATAGTGAGCACTTGCTTTTCATTGTGTCCAAATATCTGTAGCACGTTATTGTATTTTCCTCGAAAGATTTCAATGAGTGCTGGTAAAATTAAAACTGAGAAAGTACAGTTCTTAAAAATTGCACAACAAAGCTCCACCAACAGTTAAAACCAACCAAATTTTCACAGCCATTTTGTATGTATTACACATTTTACTAGTTATCAGTAGTCGTCACCTCTCGATATGACTTCTTTGCACGTTGGACGAAGCCAAATCGTGTGCTCAAATTGTGATACATAGCTGCCCTTAACATCGCAAACAGGAGGGCATGCCTGCAAAGGTATAAACGTAACGTCTCAGTAAAAAATCAAGATGGGCTTGACCGTGTAAGATAAAAGAAAAATGCGCTTTGAAATAAATTTAAGGAACTTGAATGGGTACAGTGTTCTCAAGCGACTAACATGCATTAAAGAAACTTCATATAATATGTGTAATATTGATAATTTGTCGCGTTGGCGGTCAGAATAAAAGTTTCGAATGACGCTCTAGGCCAAGTGAAGAAAGAAATACTGAACGACTATTCTTCAGCATTCGTATTAAACCCATATACCAAGCATTGACATTAACCATTCAACTTGCTCAAGCCATTTTTGTTGGTATACGTTACTACAGTAGAGAAATCAAAGCTTAATATACTTGAAAAATTTAAACTAAATCCGACAGGCACAAAAAACCTAAATCATAGTGGAAGAAGGCATGATTGTACTGCAAATCCAAATGCAAAATGAGTTTTTTGTAAGGGAAAGAATATACCAAGAATAATACTCTGAATTTGAGATTTGCGAACGAATTTATTGGTTGCAAATGAATTGCTATATGATGTAAAATCAACAGCATTTGGAGTTTGAAAATGGCGTTTTGGTCGGAGATGGTTTGATAACAAATCATGAGGAAGGCATAATCCAAAGCCCTGGGCTGTTTGCATCGTTCTTCACCGATTTTATTGAAGCAAAGAACCTCAATAATCTATAATCCAACCTTAGAAATCGTTTGATACATTTATCCAAAGCCTCAAAACTGATGTCATTGCCATAGACACATTAAATACGTTCTACCTTGCTTAATAGCAAGCGCATGTGATGCCACAAACACATTAATATTATAACATTTTCTGTGGTTTTACAAAAAAAAAAGGAAAATATTTGAAATCAATGGCGACGAGAAAGAAACATAAAGAGAAAGGGAAGAAATTGATGAATTCATTCATGCCTTACTACCAAGAGCATACTCAGGCACACACACACACGCACATTCATACTGTAAGATTTTCCAGGCTAATAAAAGATCAAAAGATGCCTCAAGCCTGACAAAAACTCAGCAGCTCAATGAGCATCCTGTATGAAATGCAATGCCGGCTTGTAAAACATTTTGTGATGTTAACTTCCACTTGATGACTATTATGACAGAATGTGAAACTCATCAGTTGCAAATGATCACATAACAATTGAAAAAATTCAACCCATTTGTATATGTTAATTGTGTATTCTTTTGCAGCCTAATATGACGTCAGACGATTCACCAAGCTCCTGATAATGAAAGGCATAAAAATAAGAGAGATATATAGTAAATAGAAAAAGCAAGCGAGCGTAGTACTTATGCTGTTGTCCGACCTCTCCATTTCAACTCAAGGCACACTATCCCATCATATGTCCTGTTTCGCAATTCCTCCAAGTCTGTGTACTGCACGAGCTGCCCATTGACGTGCACTTGCTCCAAATCGTGCTGCCAAAAGTAGGTCTCGGTCACTAGGCTCTTGTTAGCAAGCAAGATATTGAACTGAAACTCTGAGAGCCTGTGGTTCCCGGCCACGAGCCTACAACCCCATATGTGAGTCGGTCGACAAACACGAAACAAGCCATTCGTAAACCACAAGTACCAAGACGCCGTGTGACTTTTACAAGTATCAAAATTCAAGTCCCGCACCACCAAAGGTGGCTCGTCACCGACAACAGCACTACATGGCACGTCCTGAGGGTTGCTGTTCATCCACAGAATTAGAGAAATTTGAGACCCACTTAGTGCCTTCAGCAATCGCCTTAGCTTAAGGAACCACGAATTGATGTCCAAATCGGGACCACCCTCACGTGAAGAAGAGAGGAATACTTCTGAGGACCACTCCTTGGAGGTAGTGGTCGTGAAAGAGAATCTGTCCGGCACATGGGGAATACCGGCATTGAACGTAAACCTGAGAATGTTCCGTGCACAAATTGTAGCTCCATTAAGTATTTCGTTGGTCGAGATGGTTAACCACTTGATCGAATCACTTGCAAGATGAAATTCCTCGAAACCGGTGCAATCATACAGGGTCAACCTCGCAAGAACAGGTCGAACGACTCACTTGACAGGATCACACTATAGAGCTGCAAACTTGTGATACGAGAGAACAATAATGCGCTCTGGCTGTGAGACCAAATCCATGGGCCCCAGATGGAGACCGTCTCGATATTCGGCACATCAATGTCGATGCTACGCCCTTCAATCCTCTCAAAATCGCGCAATGCAACGTGCTTGAGCCCAGGCGATGCCGTCTCGCACAGCCTAACGTTTCTCAACCCCCTACAATCAGTAAGGACCAGGCGCCTGAGCAAAGGGCAACCCGAAGTTATCTTCCCGAAAGTCCCACTATCAACTTGGACCTCTTCGAGGGTGAGCGTGCGCAAACATTTGAACCGCAAGCTCTCGACCGGGCTCAGTCTGCATTTGCGCAGGTGTAGTTCTTCGAGGGACTCGGCTAAGAACACTGCCGAGGGAAGGTAGTGATACTCTGGAGTATATTTAAGAAAGTTGAGTTTGAACGCTTTTATGTTGAGGGCGGCCATCATCGGGATCCATTTGTCAAGAAGGGAGACGACCGGTGGTGAGTTGGGCCTCCAAAAGTCGAGATGGAGTTTGTGTATGAAGAGGTTGTGATCACTGTATCCTTGTAGGGTTCGGTTGATGAGGCAGAGGAACTTTTCTTGTGTGTTGTCGTTCCAGTCTTCGGAAAATTCGAGGTTTGGGCGGGTTGATCCTATGTGGCGCCATTGTTTGGAGAGTACACAAGTTTTGACAGCTTCTTTCTGGGAGAGGAAACAGAGAATGTGGTGAAGTATAGGTATTGGCAATTCGGATATTCTGTCCTCCATTGCTATGGAGGTGAGAACGATTGTGGTGTACTGAATGAATAACCCTAGTGCCGGTTTATTCTTATATTCTGTCCTCAAAAGTTTGTTGAACTTTTGTTACACAAATCATATTTACTCAGTCACAATATTTTTAAATACAATCTATTTATTGTTAACAAATTTTTAGCCTCATCTCAACCAATATTATATTTATCTTTTTTTTAAAAAAAAAAATTGTGATTTATTTATCAATTTATTTACTTGCAATTATTTATTGCATTCTATATTTTGAAGTTTTTTTTTTTTTGAATTATTTCTAAAAAATCAATCAACACCCCAAATTCTGATGTTTACAATTTTGCGAAAGTCAAAATCCTTTGTCATTTTTTATTTAAATAAAAAAATGATCACCATAAAATCGAGAATTTCAAATTAGGCAAAAAAATTTCACATATATCTTTTACTAATTGCAACAGATTAATTGTTTATTAAAAAAATCGGATTGCATAGAAATCAGGGTAAATTATGTAAAATTCGGCATGATAATTTTGTAAAATAAAAATTCTCTCATTTTTTATTAAAAAATCTGTTTACCATAAATCGAGAATTTTGAATTAGGCAAAATACTATAACATGTATTTTTACCTAATTGCAACATACCATGTTGTATGTTTACCTAATTGCAATATACCATGTTTATTAAAAAAATTGGATGCATAGAAATCTGGCAAAATTTCAAATTGAAAATTAAATTTTAAAGATCCCTTATCATTTGGCTATTTCTTTCTCTAATTCGGATTTTTTATACTTCAAACAAAATCAGATAATATTAATTTACAATTCAAAATTTGGGTTTTGTTTAATCCTCGAGAATACAAATTTGAAATTAATTGCTTACACTTACAAAATAAATAATTATTGCATATAAAATATCATATATATCCTCCTAGATAATCAATTGATTTGTTTAAGCCTATCTCGAATCCTAATATAATTTGTGGTGATAGACGATATAACAAAAGACCAAATAAATAATGTTGTGTACAAGGACGTGTTTAATAATATATAAGTTACATTTTGTTTATTCCAACACATGCGCTTTACGTTCTTTCAATCATCCTAACATCCAAATCTATAAGTTTACTTTAATAAAACTAGCTCGTGCATCGCACCGATACCGCACTAGTATATATAAAGAGAACCTATTTACCAAAAAAAGTAACAAGAAAAAGTCAACAACCATTTAATGCATTCTATTTTCAAAAAATTTTCATTTTTTTTATTCTTGCCCAAAAAATCAGACAACGATAAATGCACCCAAAATCGTGTCACTTTCTAATTTTTTTAAAAGTACAACATTTTCTAAAATTTGAAGATATTAGTTTGTGACAATGACGAGTTGTCCAATAATGAAACTCATAATGTGAACAACACTAAGTATGAAGTCAATCCAGAATTTTAAAGGTAAATGAGCATGAAAAAAAAAGTGCTCTGGCAACTTGAAGAATATGTTGATGCTTTATTTCTAACTTGACATTTTGTTGAGGTGTTTCAACACAAGACGTTTGATGTAAAATGCCAAATTTTGTATAAAAATCATGCAATATGAATTTAGAACCATTGTCGGTTCTAATGGTTTTGATTTTCTTATCAAATTGAGTAAGCACCATGTTGTAAAAATGATGTAAACAAGAGTTGGTGTTTGATTTATGGATGAGAGAGTAAATCCAAGTGACCCTACTGAAGTCATCAACAATAATTAAAAAATATTTATATCCTGAATGAGAAGGGACAGAAAAGAGACCTCAAATATCACAATGAATAAGTTGAAAAGGACAATCAGATATGGATTTACTTTTTGAGAAAGGGAGACTTTTCTGTCTAGAAAAATGACAAACATCATATGCAACAATATTTTTGCATTGATTAGCATTAAGAGGTAATGTAAGCAGTTTAGAGTTGGACAGATGTCCAAGTCTATGATGCCAAATAAGAGTGTCAGTTTTGGAAACATTTACAGGTAAAGAGAAGGTTACATCATCAGCAACATTTACAGGTAAAGAGAAGGTTACATCATCAACATCATTTACAGAGAGATTATAAACATTATCAACATGAGAGATAGGTACATGATTGGTTACATTTGCTAGAACAGAAGGATTATCAATCTTAAGATGATATAATCCAAGTTTGAGGTCAACAAAACCAATCATTTTGTGACTTGTCAGGTCCTGTAATATGCAAAAGGATGACAAAAATTTGACTATGCAATTATTTGAGGTAGCTAACTTTGAAACAGAGATCAAATTGAATGTAAATGAGGGCACATATAATGCATCATGTAGTACCAGAGAATCAGTTGAATGAACAGTTCCAATACTATGTGCATTTGTGTGATTGCCATTAGGGAGATGGATTCTAGTATTAGTATAAGATGCAGGACAAGAGTATAAATCAAGTGAGCATATCATATGGTCAGTAGCTCCTGTGTCAAGAATCCAAGTGTTATGAGATAATGACTTGGAAACTAAGTAAGATAAGTGTGTAGGTATACATGAATGCTCAACAAATGTTGTTGCAACCACATGAGGGTTTGAAACTTGTTGATTTAGCTCACATAATTTCTTAAAAGCTAAAAACTCAGTAAACAAACTGTTAGTCAAGGAATTAACATCAGTTTGAGATTCAGATTGAGACAGTGTGGATTCAGATAGAACAACATGAGCTGAAGAATTTGACCAAGGTCTTTTTGGACCAATCCAATTGGCAGGGTAACCAACTAGTTGATAACATCTTTCGGTAGTATGACCTAAGCGACCACAGTGGGAACATTTGGGTCTAGGCTTGTCTGTGTTAAAGGTCTGCTTGGGTTTGTGAAACATTTTAGGCTGAGAAGATGATTTGGCTATCATAGCAAGTGATTCAAAGGATTTTGTGGTGTTGGATAAAGTACTTTAGCTTTCTTCTTGAAGGAGCATGGAATAGACAGTGGTAAGAGATGGTTAAGGACTAGAAAGTAGAAAATGACTAATCAGGGAATAGTAGGAATCATTCAAACCTATTAAAAAATTCATAACTGAATCATGTTGTTGAGCATTGGTCATGGCCTAAAAACTATTGCAGGTGCAAATAGAAAAGCTCCACATATACATATAAAAATAGGACGATATGTGATATATTCATCCCAAAGAGTTTTAAAGGCATTATAATACCGAGAGATGGTCATGTTAGCCTGATCAATCGTACTGAGAGACTTTTCTAATCAGAAAACCGTAGGACCACTAGATAAAGCAAAGCGAAATCAAATTTCTTTCTATGCATCTTGTGCAATTGAAAAGAAAAGTAGAGCTTGTCGAATACTCTTATGCGCAGAGTTGAGAAGCCAAGATAATACCTGATTGTTTGCTCGAACCCAAGCTAAAGAGAGATTAGGGTTTTGTACCGGATTAGGAGCAGTGATGAAGCCTAGATTGTTTTTTACGCTCAAGGCCATGGAGACGGCTCTCGACCAAGAAACATAGTTGTCCCCGTTAAACTATTCAGCCACGATCAAAGTCTTAAGGATGTAAATTTTGTATCGAGTGTAGTAATCTTTGACGGTCTCAGATTCTTTTATCTTCATATTTTCCAAATCTCTTATTAGTGTTTGTAATTTTAAATGGTGTAACTTGTTACTACCCTGATATTCTTCCTTTAAAGTATCCCACGTCTCCTTTGATGTATGTGCTCCGCTAATTCTTGGAAACAGAGATTCCGTCATAGCTATTTGTAGTGTAAAAAGGGCCAAACTGTCTTTTCTCCTTCTCCCGGTCAAATTTTTCTTCGCCCGCCGTAGACAAAGTGGATATGTCATCGAGGATAGTATACCCGTTCTCGACACTATTCTATAGGCCTTGAAACATAAAGTATATTTTCATTTTAATGGCCCAGTAGTTATAATTTTCTCCTAAAAAAATAGGAATTGGTATTTGATGGGTGTTTTTAGCGACCATTTTAAGTATGCTATATGAGAGTAGGAAGATATGTGAAAGTATGATATTTGGACAAGATATGTAAATGTAGAAGGGTATCTAAAAATAATTTTGTCCAGCTATTGATCTAACTGGACTCTGATACCACTGTTGGAATAAAAAATAATTTATAATTGAAATTGGAGAAGAATTGAAATTTGTTGAACAAGAGATGATGGGGAACAAATATTTTATATTATGAATATGAGATAATGAATATGAGGAATTTTGGTTGAGAAGGCAAGACTTTTATATTGTCTCATCAATTTCCTTACACTAGAAATACACGCATGACATACACATATATAGCTCTTTGGTGTTGGATTAAGGCATTATTAATTTTTTTTGGGCAATTGTTATTTTACAACCTGAACTATAAGGTAATTGTGTTTTTGGTATCTATCCTTTATTTATTGTAAAAATACAACCTAACCTTTATGTTTTTGCTAATTTAGTACCTAGTTTGCCGTCAGTTACATTTTCCGTCTGTATTCTTATATTCTAATATATAATAGTTAAAAAACAATAAAAAACTCATATTTGTGGCACTTAAGGGCAAGGGCTACTTTCTCAAAGCCCTAGTTCCCGTACCCATTTCATCTAAATACTTCATCTTCTCAAGCAAATCATTGCTAATATAAGTGCTCAAGGAAGCAAATCATTGCTTAATACAAAAAAAATCCGACATGCGTTGGCGGATTAGAGATCCAACTAATCCTTTTTTTTCACATGGACACCCAGATTATGGTAACTCTTTTTTTTTTAATGTTTTGCAATATGTAATGATGCTTAAATTATTATTTGTGTCGTTGTAAGTAATTAAAATTCATGGGTCTATATATATATATATAAAAAAAAGGCGATTAAAAGTTTTTGTAAAGGATTTTCAACATTTTTCTTACTTTTGAATACATGTATTATTTTTCAGGTTTTCAATTCACAAACTTTCACTATCAAATTTCATCATTCTGGTAAGTTTGTTGATATTGGTGGAATCAAACATTATATGGG